CGCGGTCAACGAAATCCTGTCGAGAACGAGGTTAGGCTTAACCAGTCGTAATCGTTACAAGCATACTGGAGATCACATGCAAATACTCGACAGTCCAAGCTGTCCTCGGAAATACAAGGACGTTCAAGATGCCCCTTGCCAGAAGAGCAGGCGTCCTACAATCATTCCAGCGAATGTATCATTGTTTACCTTGAGCCTGGGATAGACACCGGTCCTTGTCGACTCCTTTTGAGCATCCCCTGCGGACATTTGCCGCATTTCCCGTCTGTGCGTCTGCTTGCCCGCGACGGTCCGTGTTGGATACCCTAGGTTCCTTGCCGCCCGCAGGTCTGCATACTTTGCCAATGGCACCTGCCAGGCCGCACAATGCTTCGCCATCACCCCAGCGACAGTATATTGCTCCCCAAGGTCCATCGCGAAAATGAAAAGCAGGGGGTAAACCTTCCTAACTTCCCCGCTTGGATCCTTGCACATCAGGCCGGTGTGACCAGCTATCCTGAGGGAGTTGTTGAAGGTTGCCAGACCCTTGTTCACGTAGTAGCGTGCCTTGTACCTGTCAAGCATGGGTACTCTCATGAGTACGCTCATCGGAAGGAGTCAATCAAGAACGTAACGACCGACGACAACTAGGTGCTCGCAGGAACAGAAGAAATCTTGCATTGTTGAGCTTTTGTAGTTCAGAAGATTCGGAGGCAGGTGGCATACTGAAGGATTTTCAATGAGAGCAGATATGGTTGGTCAACCTGCAAAGTTAGCCCAGGGCAGCGAGATGACTGAGCTTCTATGACGGATTCTGACAACGTAGTTATGAGGTATGACCATCAGCTGTACTTCCTTACTTGAATTCAGGGGAATCCTTCGTCCAGCCCACGGCAAAGGCTTCCGGCTTCGGAATGGGGAGGAGAGCCACAAGAACATAGCCTTTCCGTGCCTTTCCGATGAACTTCCGGGAGTAGTTGCCAAGAGACATATACAGAGGCGCCATGATATAGTTTCCCACAGCGTCAAGGTGGGTCTTGTCATAGTGCAGGATGTATGGACACGCGTACACCGCGGGTTTTTCCATCCCTTCCGGCTGCTCCTTCTCCTCCTCGCGGTCAACAACCTGCAGATTACGAAGGGGAGTAAGCAAACAGAAAGTCGCCCCTGGCATGGAGGACCTACTGACAAGCAGTACTGAACAGGCCCCCAGGCGCAGCGGATCCCAACCGGGAACCATTGAGAGGCGGTTTCTGCTTTCGTGCTTACCAGCTGGTTTGCCTTCTCCCACCACGTCCCTCTCTTGACCTCGCCGTAGATGCGCACATGTCCTCCCTCAGCATTCCGTCGAGTTTTATCCACCAGAGGTTTGGGGCGGAGGAAGAAACCGTCGGCAGCGTCCGGTTCGCTGAACATGTGCTTGAAAGCATCTGTACCTTCAATGTATGCACACCAGAGAGGGCCTGGGTCTCCGGCCTCAGCTAGATCCACCATGTTCACCTTCTGCAAGAGGAGACAGGTCGTAATCAGGAGTATGCTGAAAAGCTAAATGATCTCAAGAACCCTTGGCCTTTACAATGTCCCATGTCGTCCGCGGCGAATCATGTCCAGTGCAGAAGATTTTATGATAGTGCAACAGAGACTTCTCAACTAGACCAACATGCAGCAACTTCCGGGGTCTTACTAACATCACATCTTCCGTTACATCGTTGGAAGGATTGGACGGGATCCTTGCATGAAAAACAAAGAAACTTCTGCCTTTCTCCATGTCTATGCTGGATCGTATACTCACCGTTGCAATTGTCATCTCGGCCAACATCTTGGTAACCCTCCCAGCGTCTTTCAGCTCCTTGGCCACCTCACTCGGGTCGTAGTTGTCATGGTTTAGGACGCAAAGTATCCGGTTCATTCCCGCAGGGGTGAGCGGCCTCTGCCTGCGGCCGGCTGTCTGGAAAGCAAGGACCAACTCTTCCACACTGTCGAATTCGCGCTCCGTTTTACTGGGCCCTCCCTCGTTGAGGCCCCCTGTATCGCTCTCCGCCGCTCCCCCCTCTCCTTCCTCTTCAAACGCTGCCTCAACCATTGCGTCTACTTGCGCTTCAAAAGGTTGAGGCGCCTCTTCTTCCGGGTCCCACGTATCGCCGCCGTCTTCTTCCTCGGCGTCCCGATTATCGCCGCCGAGGTCTTCCCATTCGTCGGCAACGGGCTCCTGCTTTTGCTTCTTGGCCTCATGTTGGCCGCCGTCATTTGTCTGGATCTCGCGAAGCATCTTTGCCATAACCTGCTGGGCGATGCAGAAGTTGGAAGTCTCCTCATGGGATCTCCGGGCTGCTCCACTGGCGAAGCATTTATGACAGTATTGGCACTCATTGAAATCGGGCGGCGCCCTGCGCGCTGGCCCATACTCGTTCATCTGAGCAGGTACAGGGAGTTGAGATCATCTAAGTCAGGGGCGTGAACCTGGAAGTTTTGCAAGCAATGGTGGCTGTTGCTATATCAATCTGTGACCAGCTGTGCACACTCAAGGCAACAATCTGGCCAGTATCATCCGTCACAATCCTTTTTCTTCTTGGAAGGAGCAGCGTACAAAAAAATGAAGTTAGGTAAGACACAGCCGTATTAGTATGGAGCAACACCCACTGGCAGGGCGTTCGCACGATCAGGTAGGGCCAAAATTGTCTCAGCATTTACAAAAATAGACATAACCGGCCGCCATTTTGTCGCAATTTGACCAAATCGAGTTCCGTTTTTTGCATTGGGTGCCCCTATGGTATCTTTAACCCGTACCAGACTCAGTTTGGTCAAAAGTGGTCGGCACCCGGTAGATACTTGCACTGCCCGGTACAAACCGAGGTCCAAAGGAGCAACCCACGGAAGTCCAAGCTAACGTCGGAAATTTTTGATGTCACTTGATCACTAGAGCCTACTAAGGTAGATCTTGTGCCCCACGGGCCTACTTCCGAAATTTTCGTTCAGATACTACCTCCACGGATGTCATAACCGGGTACCAGATTTCAACCGGTTCCTTAACCCACACTTGCTGTCCCGTAGCAACCGGGTCCCAACGAATTCTTGAAATCTGAAAACTTGGGGCACAAGATTCACCTTTATACGAGATAGTTGCCAAGTATCGCCTTCAAATATTTAGATTGGGTTGGACTTCTATGGGTTGCTCCTTTCGTTCTCTAAAATGTTTGAATCTCTACCGGGCACTCGCAATTCCAACCGGGTCCGGACCCAATTTTCAAAAGCTACCGGTTGGTCGTCGAAAGGTACTTGTGAGCAGCCTAGTAGCAAAAAACCGACCTCGATTTGGCCACGTTTCGAGTGGTTGGTGATAGGAAACGTGTTACCCGTACCGGGCCGAAAACGGGCAAAGTGCTGACATACAGTGTAAACAGTGGGCCGTACTCGACCTGTACATGTGTACTTTTCGACCGTCCGAGTGTACATTTTCGAAATTCCCGGGGGCACGGACCCACGGGAAGGTCTTGGGTTCGATCCCCACCAAGAACGCCAAAAACTTTTCTTTTTACCATGCCGCAACGGAGCTAACAATAGGAGTGCCGGAATTGGCCTTACCTGATCCTGCGAACGCCCGGCAGGTACCTACTACCTACTTCCTGTTGACAGAAGACCAACGCTCATACTGCTCATACGGTACTACCTATACCGTCACTCTGGGCATCTTCAAGTAGGTGTAGAAATGCAGCTCTAGGAAATGGCGGGACCAATTTTTGACCAAAGGGCTTATTCACACTGAGAGGTTGGTCAAAATTCCGGTGGCACGGTTGCAGTGTGCATTGAGTGCGGCCCAAGGTACCAGTGGGTACCTGGCAATGGCGCATCACGACTCCTTTGAGCTCTTTTGACATTTTGAGAAGGGTACAAACTTTGGAAGGGGCGAGGGACGAGGCGAAACCTGCTTTCAAGAGGGAGTGTCAGGAGGCTCATGCGCAGTTTGACGCTCAAGAAGAAAGGAACTTTTGCTCACTATTTAACAAGCGCAACATGAGGGAAATAAACGTGCTTCCTGTTGGTGACAAAAATGGACATGACGCAGAGGCAGTTCATTCAGAGCACGCAAGCATCAGTCGAGCAGGTGCTGGAAATGCAGGGTCACATGGCGGACATGTCAGCACTGCGTTGGGGGGAGGTGTTGCAGCATGTTCTGGGGATGGAGTCCGGTCCCAGCAAGCAGACGCATCAGATGATGCAGCACAGCAGGTGAGTACCTATGCAGGTAGTGGGCATGCAAGTTTCATTACCCCGCCTACCCCGTAGTGGTACGGGAAATTCGCACCAGCCTCGTACGAAAATCATTGTATTTTGTTTTTCCATTTTGCAAATTGGGTTAAGTCTAACGTTCAGCCCGTAACGAGCCGATAACAGGATACTCTAGGGGTGATATAATTCCGGACTTTTCGTACCGAGTCCGCCAGAATAATTTTTGATGCGAATTCCCCGTGCCACCACGGAGGATTTCAGGTACGTAATAGGTACCTACGGTAGGCATAGTACCTAGGCCTAGGTACCTAGGTACCGTCTCGATTTCAAGTTGACTAAGGGCATGTTGACTACGGAAAGCACCCGGGGGACAGTTATGGTTAGTTTTGAGGATAGGTGCGGAGCGTTCGCGATTTATCGGGTCAGATTTTAGGTTCGGTCGTGCCCCCGGGCACTGTCTGGTCAAGTTCCGTTTACCGTAGTCAAGATGAAATCGAGAAGTACTATGACTCGGAGGTCGGTTCACGGGTACCTACTAAGTACTGACCGCCGCGCGCGGGAAGCGACTTTGAATTAACGGTACGTACCAGGTATTTCTAAGCCTCTCCACCCGACAGGACGTGAAATTCAAATGCGCGAGATAATCAGCCGTGAGATAAGCAAGATTCGAGATCGAACGGGCCTGCACACACCTTGAAATTTGAATCGGGCGCCCTCGGGACGCGGGTTTTGCTCGTCATGTAGGTACCGACACCAGCAACAGATCACTCCCTCCATTTCAATCTCATACTACCTATCTACCGTAGGTACCGGTCCCTACTGTCCCTGTAGGCTGTGACTCTTTGAGATGGTGCCAAGAGGGCGCCGAGAGCTTCAAAGGTTGCAGTGAGGAGGGTCACAGTGCTTCCGTGGGGCTTCTAAACAGCAAGGTCTTTAAGTCCTTTCACGTTGGAGCAGCATGGCGTCCAGAATGGCACGCCAAAGAGAGGAGATCATACAAAGCATGGCGAAAACCAAAAGCGGGCAGACGATTGACGAGCCTTTCTCGAAAACCCCACCTAAATTGAGGAAGGGAGGCAGAGTGATAAAGTCATCTGTACAAAAGTCCTTCCAGGAAAACAACGGCAAGAAACTTCCAAAGGGGCCTAGAGTTTATGGGAGACCTGAAGCGAGGGCAGACGAAGACCCAGAGGATGACGAGGAGGAGAGGCTGGGTGATGATGACGAAGGTCCTGTTGCCGCAGGATATGCGTCTGATTAAAATCAGTACAATGTGCACTGCAGGCGGGAGGCGAAGCCCACTCAGAAGGGGCAGTTGGTTGGCGTGGAGCAACCTCTCATTGGCACGTATGGCAGGATGAGCCAGGAAGAAGCAAGAGATTACGAGCCAAAGGTGATTTTTTGAGTTGCCATCTGCAGACTTTCGCTCTCCAAAAAGAAGGATCTATGCATCTGCAACTGTGGAGATGGTGTGAAGTAGCTAGTGCAGCTTTGCAATTGGGAGGACGCTGATGAGCTGGTGCTGGATAGATGCTTATACTCCCAAGCACCAGATACTTGCAGATGGTATTCTATCCTCAATCACAGAATCTATGCTTAGTTGTGCCACTTAATAAGCACTAGGTAGTCCAAGGGCATCACAGATTCAGATTGGCCCCCTTGTTGTTCTGTATGTAGACCGCTCCTTGAATATTCAACTTCGCTTGCAGATGCACATGTACAAGCGTAACATCTGCTGGGAAAACATAGCGGGGCATTGGCGAGATGCACAATTTACGCCACTCCCGATGAGTTGGTGGTCCAGTTTGTGCAGACCGCATATCCAGATACACTGAGCGCGGACCTACCAGTTGCAGAGAAGGTAAGGCGTCTGCGTCGGTGGGTTTGCTAGGACTACGAAGTTGCTGATGGTTTGCAGACTCTGAAAATAGCACCTGGGCCAGAGCATCATACAATTCTGTTACTTGAAGTGGCAGATTGAATGCACTCTTTTCACATTCTGCATATGCGACGGTTGACGGTTTAGTCTTCTAGCCATGTGAGCATAGACTATCGTCTTCAGACTGTGCTTCCAGCGAAGTTCCAGATGATATAGGGGCCAAGGCACGGCCTCACGAGTTTGGCGCAAAGAAAACCTTTGCAAATCTTGACTTCCCTGTTGGCTTCGTCAAACAGATGCAAGAAGCCTCTAGGTTCTTGGGGTCGCCCCTGTACAAGAAGCTAAGGGTGGATTTCCGACATTGCATCAACTCCTACCGGTCGGAGAAGTCCTCTGGTACCTCAGGCCTAAAGAGGGCAGCGAGAGCAGAGTGGGGCCTTGATAAACTTGAGGAAGATGACAAAGATGCATATCGAGCGAAACTTGCTGACCTCTTGGAAGGCAAGTTATTAAACCTTTTGAAGTTGGTTGCGTGCTTTGGCCCATTGCATCAACATTTACTGAAGCAAAGCTGTTGGTGCTGCAGTCGACCTCTGACCTCTTGTCTCGTACGTCCATTGATTCCTGTGCCAATGCAAAAGGTCGGTGTATAGACTGTAAAGTTGGCTGCGAGCTGTGAAGATGAAGCAGATCCTCTCCTACCATCGTTCTGCAGCCTTTGGGTTGTCAGCATCCTTATGTTGAAGGCGTCAATCTATATTGGTAGATATCTCCCTTTGCTACTTTTGTGTCCGAATCCTTTGAATGCGTCGATACTCAAATCTGCAACCCGTGCTTACTGCTATGCAGATCGAGCTTACCACGTTGGGAGATTCAACACCCCTCTGGCCAACCCGGCCTTCATCAAGATCATCAAGAAGACATGTGGAACGGTCAGGATTCCAATGGAATTGCTGACATGGAGCATGTGTGTGGTAAGTCAACCCGTGTGGAAATGATGGTGCTGTATTGTTCTGCACTCGAAACATGTGCTTCTCTACAACGTCAGTAAGGGAGGTCATCGGGCTTTGAAGACCTTCATAGGGAGTCTCAGAAATTGCTAGCCAGTCACGAGTGCTCTTAAGGTTGGAGTCTGTCCGGATTATTTGGTCATCCATGCTTGAGTAGGTTGAGACCGTTCAAGTAGTTTTAGTTAGTGGTTGCCAGATGATGAGAAGGCTAAGATTCTCAATCCCTTTCTGAGTCTAGTTTTCATACCATATAGCCTGTGACACGCACAGGAATTGGGAGTTTTGGCCCTGTCGAGACGTCTTCGTATTCAATTTATCAGGGATGATGTTTGCTGCCCATATTTAGTTGGCCGGAACATTGCTGCAGCCAATAAAACGTGTTTGGGATGACCTGCGATTCGTTTGAGAACCCCACTTCTGCTCGTCTGAAGAGCTGAGGCCTTCAGACAAGACAAACCTGCATTCAGACACGTCTGCTGGTTCTGCTGCAGCTGGAGGCGTTCTTCGTGGGCAAGAACATGGACAACGACCACAGTAGCAACCAGGACAAGATGCTGATCATAGGCGTTCCGCTCAAGGCGCAACTCCTAAACCTGTCGCAGCGGCAGAAGCGCGAGCCGCGAGTGGAGATCAGGCCGAAGACACGCATTAAGGTAGCCGAGTATCTTCAGCAGAAGAAGGTGGAAACCGTCAGCAGGAAGCGGAAGCGGAACGAGAGACGCGATTTCTCTGGTATGGACATCAGTGCTGCTGAGGCTGAAGCCATGGAGCCGGAGGCTGAAGCCATGGAGCCGGAGGCTGCGGACGAGGCTGCGGACGAGGCTGCGGACGAGCCTGCGGACGAGGCTGCGGACAAGCCTGCTGACGAGGCTGCGGACGAGGCTGCGGACAAGTCTGCGGACGAGGCTGCTGTGCCCGAGGCCGAGAGGTTGAACGTTGCCCTGCAGGAGGCTGACGACTTGCCCCTGGGCAACGCTGGTAGAGTGGATAAAGACGCTGTGCCTGCTCCGGAGCCACCAGGTAATCATACGAGTCTTAAAGTTTGGTAAACAGAGCTCCACCTTCGGATCATATATATTCCCTCGTCAGAGCATTCGTGGTTGCCTCCTTTTCTCTGCAATGCTTGAACCACAGTGAGTATCCTGTACTCCTCGTACCCGTGATCCCCAGTGATTCGATGGTGTTTCTTAGTCCTCGAAGTGATCCTTCTAGGCAAGGTTGTTCAATCGGTTGCAGCCTGTGATGTGAAGCAAACGCCCTTCTTCACAAACGTTGTCATCCTTGAATATTCGTTTCAATCCGGATTACTCCTGGACCTACTCCTGCAGGCAGCGCCAAGGTTGGCAGCCGCCACGGCAGTGAAATGAGCGGTGGAGTGCTTCCATCCGCCTCCACGGGAGAGCACACTGACGGGCTGAGGCGCTCATCCCGTGCGGGCACACCCGAAAAGGACCCCACAGGTCCGGATCCAGCTGAAGTCAACTCCCCATCCCCAGCCGATCGCGGAGGCGAACAACCGCCCTCTCAGAAGCGAAAGTTGTCCACATCAAGCGGGGGTGTAAGTTTCGCTTGTAATATCCAGGGCCCCACTTTTTTGCAAGACATGTACACCATTTTGGATCCTCTTGAGTTCGAGGGCTGTGGCCACACAAGGAACAAAGCAAGATGGAGGGTCTTCAATGAGAGTTATGTTGAAACTATGGAAGAGCATACGAAGAGCGGTGTCGCTATGCAGTTTAGATGCATTTCCGAGTTGCTTCTTGAAGGGATGATAAGACGTCGGAACTGTCGTGAGCGAAGTTGCTGCTGGGCTGAAAACGAAGATCTCCTGGGATCCTCGGTGTCGTGCTGTTCTCTTTCTCAGTCTGCGGCGTGGCATGTCACTTTTTCTGTCAAAGCATTTCTGCTCGACAGCAAAGGGAGTATTCTGCAAAGATTATGCGACGTGTCCAGGCCTTAAGCACCGAGGTTGGTAAAAACTGATCAGCAGTGCATACCCAGGACGTTGGAAAGCTGACAAAGCTCTGTCCGCCAGCTTGAGAAGGCATGCAAGTCGCTTCCCTGACGGACAAGCTGCGGTGATTCGCTATGGGACCACTATGCTTGGGCAGTGCTAACTTGTTAACCTGCGGTGTCGTACAGGGCGTGTCGCAGCTCTTGACGTTCACAGAGATTGAAGAAGAGTCCCTGCAAGCGGTCGCGAGCGGCAGGAATAAGTAAATCTTGCTGTAACGACGACGGCGACCTTTTGTCGCCTGCTCACTGAACACTCAATCGCATCGTTCGTGTGGTTAGTGTTGCGAGGTTTGAAAAGTATGGCCAACCTCGTTCACAGGCACGACGTTCTGTGCGCTTGATCATCACTCAATGTGCCTTTTTGATGCAGCGGCACGCTTCTCGTTGCATACAAGAACCAAGACATCACGAGACAAATTGCCAAGAGTCTTCTGGCGC